GTCACACCAGGTACATCCAGCAACCTGGCCGAGGGGACCGTCTCCATAGCCCCTCGCAGTCATAGGGCCAGTCGGGGGGAATCGGCTCCCCGAGGCCTGGGACAAGCCCAGCAACTGCAGTGATACAGACCCTGGCATCCAAACGGGTGTGTAGCCACCTGCCCACAGCGCATCCCACAGCCGCTCTGCACCAGCTGAGCACGGGTCAGGGCCTGGTTTCACAAGCCCAGGCAGGAGGGCGTCACACGGTGGGGACAGGAACGCCGCTTGTGACAGGGTCCTGCCATGGGAATAGCATCCCAGCCTGTCCCTGAATGTCGACTGGCGACAAACCCTGGCATTGTGAACGTCCCCAGTGCAGCCCACATTGCTGCTCATAAATCGGCCTCTGTGGGGCCCAAGGGCCTGCGTACCAACAGCGTCGTGCCCATATGCTCTTGGGGGCAAACGATGGGCACATGGGTCCCATCCACGGGCTGTTCTCAACACCGGCAATGCCTCCGGACTAGCGTTACTGCCGCCGCTCGGGGTAAACCACACGCCTGGCTGCTCAGACACCTCTGCCTTGCCTGGCCCAGAGTCGACCCCCCAGCTCCAGCGCAGGGGACCTGTAGCCATCTGGGGCAGCCGGCTTCTGGCCAGCCAGGGGGCCTCCTGTGGGTGTCTTTACCCAGAGGGGTGCGGCCCCAACCTGCTCCCACGCTCCAGAAACGTGGCTTTCCTCCGGCGCCAGGTCTCACCCCGGGGTGCATGGTGCTGGGCCCCACCGGCTCTGCTTGTGGCCCGGCGCCAGCCGTGCCCGGCCACGGACTGGGCATTAGCAGCTATGCTGAGCATCGCAAGGCTGCGATGCCAGGTACTCTTCCTCCTCCTCTGCCTCCTCCCCCTGCTCTGTCCTTAAATCCGCCAGGTCCCTTGGGTGGGTCAAAGCGCCGCCCAAGTGTGCCCTGGCCCTCGCCGAGCTCCTGCCAGGTGAGTGACCGCGCAAGCCAGAGAGGTTTGGCCAAAGGAGCCTCCTTCGTGTGGCTGGCACTGGGAGGGCACAGACCAGAACGGCAGCTCAGCGGGCGAGGCTGGCAGCTGCCCGTGCAGGGTGGACAGTCAGCGCCCCATGGCCCGAGGGTGGGAGTGGCCCCGTTTCAGGCTGGTTTGACTCGGGGCTGTGAGCTGCCAGGACGCCAGAGCCCCTGTTAACGCGGGGTTCAGAACTAGTGTAGACGCGCCCGCCCCGGGTTCTCTAACACAGGACAGGTGGGTCGACTCCCACCAGCCCTGGGCTAACGGCAGTGCAGACGGGCTCGGCCCCGCTCCAGACACAGCACAGCTCTGCACATGGCACAGCCCCCCGCTGCGCGGTCTGGTCCCGGTGCAGCGTCTCCCTGGGCTGGGCTGGGGCTGACCTCATGCCCGGCTCTGTCTCCCCTGCAGATCTTCACGCGCCTGGGGAAGTGCTACACCTTCAACGCAGGGGTGCCGGGCAACGAGCTCCTCACCACCGTCAAGGGTGGCTCCGGCAACGGGCTGGAGCTCATGCTGAACATCCAGCAGGAGGAGTACCTGCCCGTCTGGGGGGAGAGCGGTGAGGCTGGGCACAGGGCCCCCCCCCAACACGGGGGACGGCAACACCCCCCGAGACAGCAACACCTGCATGGACAGCCCTGCCTGACCCCGTCCCTGCGACAGCAACACCCCCCAGACAGCAACACCCAGCACAGACAGCCCTGCCTGACACTGTCCCTGGGACCGCAACACCCCCCAGACAGCAACACCCGGCACGGACAGCCCTGCCTGACACTGTCCCTGGGACCGCAACACCCCCCAGACAGCAACACCCGGCATGGACAGCCCTGCCTGACCCTGTCCCTGGGGACCGCAACACCCCCCCCAGACAGCAACACCCGGCACAGACAGCCCTGCCTGACCCTGTCCCTGGGAACCGCAACACCCCCCCCAGACAGCAACACCCGGCACAGACAGCCCTGCCTGACCCTGTCCCTGGGA